TATATATATATATATATATATATATTCAATGTAGATATAGCCCTGGGTGGGTTGGTTCAAAGAAGAGAAGGACACACTCATGTGCTGAACTGATTTTGTCATGCTCCAGTTACATCGACATTTTGCTCCAGGTATGGAGGAGGTTTTTGTTTATTTTTTTACACTCCTTTTTATGTGTCATGCATCTTCTTTCGTTTTATTAGCTGGCGGCATTGATGAAAACGCTGTCAACTCATACATATGGAGAAAGCTTTGTGATTGAAATGATAGCTCTATACAAAAGCATTTATATTCTTTTTACTTTTCCTTAGCTTGTTACAGTTAAGACACGTGTAGACTTGGAAAGTGGTGTTTGATTTGCAGAATTTACTCCTTGGAATTATTCACCATGTGTCTCTTTTGGTGTTGCAGGATCTTAGGCGTCCAGCCAAGATGTGACTCTTACGGTGCGTCATAAACAGGATCCGTCCACAAATTTTAGCAACAGTTTCTATAGCAACAGAACTATCAGATAATCTTTAATAGTCCCATTCCCATGATGCAGTCCTCCTCGCAGGCCGCAAAGCCGCGGCGTTTTGATGCCAGTCGGCGGACAGCTAACTCAACTGGGTCCAAGCTTCGTGTCTCTAGTTTTCAGAGGGAAGATAAAAACATGAACACAATCACCAATTCGTCTCCACGGCGGGGTTCTAAAGCCCCCACTGCTTCTTCCAAGAGCAGGATGGTTGCACAGCCAAAAGCTCCAGTAATCCAGTCCAGACTGAGCTCTCAGAAACAAGGTTCCATCATCTCCAGATCGCCTAAACCCAAACTGAAGAGCGCTCGCCCATCTGCAGTGACCCAGATCACACCAGTAGTTGCTGCTCCTCCTCCTCCGCTCCCCTCCGCCCTCCCCCTGGATCCAAACTGCAATGAGCCCAGCCTCCCCTGCCTGTGCTGTGATGGGCGCTCTCCTCAGGACAACAACAGCATGTTCAACCACAACCATAACAACAATAACACCGTGTCCATTAGGCAGCAGCTACAGCTGCCTCCTCCTCCTCCTGTGACTCAGGTGGCCCACAACACCGGGGCTATGGTGGCCAAAGAAGCTGCTCCTGCGCATGCGGAGCCCCCTGCCAAATCTGCCGCCAATGTGGAGATCGATGTAAAGAAAACAGACAAAAACAAAAACATGGAGAACAAAAAAGTAGATGAAGAAGATGCAGAGGAAGGAAGAGGCAGAAATGTTGCTATTGATGTAGATGAGGATGATGACGAGACAGATAGTGATGATGATGACGATGATGACACACTGGTGCCGTCATGCTGTGACTGCCCCCCATCCCTCTTAGAATTCTCTCTGTCCTCCTCCACCTCATCGTCCTCCACTTCCATCAGCTCCTGCTCCGACCTGGAGTCTGACTGTGCCGATCAGTGCGCTTCCATGGGCTCCTCTCAGGACCAGGACCACCTTTCTGCCGCATTAAACCCCAAAGACCACCCACTCATACAATTCCCAGAGTTCAAACCTCCTTCGTCTCTTCCACTTAACAATAATCCCTTCTCCCTAAACTCCCGTTCACCAGTTGCTTCTTGCTCCCCTGATGAGGGCTACCCCTCTGCACTTGACTCACCATCTCCTGACTACTTGGGTGTAAAAAGTGACTCTGATGCTAACAAACTAGATTTGCTTGATTTCTTAGAGTCTGTAGGGGAGTTTGGGAAAATGGAGCGCTTCAGCCAGGTTATCCAAGTTGCTCGCTGGGATCTGGAAGGAGAGCAACACTGGGATGTGCTGAGGGATCGCCTTGATCACCTCGATCGTTTGGAAAAAGTGAACAGGGAGGTGAAGTTGGCTTATGTTGCCAGACTTCATGAGAAGGGGTTTGATCTTGGAGATCTGGAGGAACAGGACCTCTCTGACATCATGGATGAAATGGGGAACATCGACATTTCCTGGAAGCTCTCTAAAACCCGTGACGGAGCAATGGGGGAATCTCAGGAGTTTTCTGATGCCGGGGTTGACCTCACCGCTCCGTCTGACTGCGATGATCCACTTGTTCCGGAATCCCTCACCCCTTCCCCTATGGAGCTGCCACCCAGACCCCCCAAACCTCCTGCCCGTCATGCCAGCGTTAGCTCTGACCTCCACACCTACATTAATATCAGTAGGGAGACCACTTCCATAGCCGTCACCACCTCTCCCACTTTGTCCACTTTCTCCCCCAACTCCTCTTCCCCTACATTTTCGACATTTCGATACGAGAAATCACTCCCCCCATCTCCGCCATCCATCCCTCCTCTCCCTGCCTCCAAACCGGTCCCTTACCTCACCCTCTATACAACTCCTTCTCCACCTCCATCCATCCCCACACCAACCCCGCCCATCCCTCCACCCCGAAAGCGACACCTCGCCAGAAAAGAGGCACAGCGCCTTGCTGCTCTTCAAGCCGAGCAGGAAATGACCCCCCTCTCCCTTCCACCTCCCACCACACGCCCTCCACCCTTGCCTCCTCCACCTGTCATTTCAGTGAGCTGCTCCTCTACTCCCCCCGCCATACCACCTCCACCTGCACTGCCCCCTCCCCCCT